AGCTGTGTGGACGCGGGCAGGACGTTCCCTTCCCGACGCCCTGTCGAGGTTTTCCCCGCGTGTGCCGGCCAGAACCGTTCCCTTCGGCATAAGGCATTGAGGAAAGCCGGCTGAGACTGTCAGGGCACAGAGAAGCATGGTTATGATGACCATCTTGCCTATATTAATTGTCACTTTTTCTACAAACCAGCTATTTAAAACCAACTTAGATAAATGCTCGCATAGTTCCCTCTATGTGTTTTCCCAGGCATGTGGGAAAGAGGTGAAGTTAAACCACTGCAAACACTTTAAAACAACAAAGTTGTGCAGTTAAGGCATATTTCTGAGAGCATTACCATTACCAGGCATTTACACCAGTGGTAACACAAATATCAGCGTTTGTGTTCTGGAAATGGTAGCAGATTTTTGCGTTCAGGATGGGACATCATTGATTTTCAAATGTAGAATGGCAGCTTGAGGCAGTTTTATGTATGGACCATGCTGACAGACCAGAGAGCACCTGGGAAGCGACAGGGCAATGACTAGCTGCTCTGTCTCTTTTTTGGTAATGTTCTCAAATTTTATGTTGCTTTAATAATATAAAACATCAAGGATTTTTTAAATGCTGCTTCTCTAGTTTTTTTATTGTTTTCTGGCATCATTTTTGTATCTTACAGCCCCCTTTGTTGGCATTTCCTGAAAGCCAAGAGTTAAACAACTAGCTTCTATTTTAGGAAATATCCTAAAAGGACCAATTTTTCATTGAAGTGCTTATACTTTTTCAAAGAAGTGGAGCTTGGTGTGCATTTTGAGTCAAGGGCCAAAAGTGAGGGCTGTCAAAATAATGAATCATTCTGAAAACCTGTTCAAAAGTATGCAAAATTGTGTACCTAAGTCTTTGCAAATTTAAGATAATGTTTTCTATACTTTTATTTGCACTCTGAGCTGTACAAATTTAAAAAAATCTTGCATTTTTCTAAGTTGCACTTCAACTACAGTATAGTTCCGTAAGTCAAAGTATCTGATGACAGTAAAATATGGTGCTGTTTTCAGATATTTCATACAGTATTAAGTCAATGTTTGTGTAGGAAGATGCATTGATTGTATGTGTCCATTTAGGAGTCAGACTGAAGAATAATGAATTAAAGTGACTGACATCATGACAACCGTAAGACAGAGAAGGGTTGGAAAAGGCACAGAAGCGGCTGAAGATCAGCCTTCAGAGGAGAAGAATGTGAAGCCTGATGGGAAAATTCTGTCTGGTGGGTAATGACAAGGATTGTGACATTATGGCTTTTTAGTAGTGTTTACCTTTTGGTACCTGTCCTAAGCACAGGTTAGAACTAGGTATGTACCAAATACTTTTTCATACTTGAATATCTGTCACCAAAACTAATTGGATAAGACGGCGGGCATGCAGATTACCACTTGTCAATCTCATCTCTGTTTTAAAATACTAATGTAAATTGGTGAGAACATTTTTTTTTCAATTTAGTATCAGTGACGTGATATCAGATTTCATATAGCTGTCGTAGGTTCTTAAGCGACTTCCAGTTCAAATCATTGGTAACATAAAAGGATTTGAAGACCTCAGATGAGGTTTACTTAAATATAAGCAGATTGCACATGAAATCTCGAGTTTAACTGCAGATCCTTCCTTTTTGACTATAGGACAGACTAGCTAGGTAAATTTGAGAGAGACATTAAGTGTCTTAATTCAAGGATCTGTTTAAGTAATGAAATACGACATTTTTGTATTTGTGTGGAATTACAGCTTTAGAGTTGGCAAAGTTTGTTAGGTTTGGGGGTTTTTTAATTAACTTATTTTAAGGGATGTTTTGACCTAAATTCCAAATGTTTCTATGTATGCAGTTTGCATAGATGAACAGAAAGTTACATTGTTCTTTTCACACAAGTACACATAGGCTATATACAAAATGGGAAAGTGATCATAGTTCTCATCCCACCCAGCCGTCAGTTCCACTGAATTGCATATGTGGTACCCATTAAGTAGATGTCACATGCAGTATGAAATAGTGATCTGGAATTGTACCTTTGAAATGGCTAAGATCCATATGAAGCCTTATATCAACATTAAAAAAAAAAATTGCCTAAAAAAACCAGGAATACAAGTGTACATCAAAGCGCAACCTTTCTTTCCCATCATTCCATCTATAATCTTATTTGGATGTCATCAGGAGGTTATCTGCAATTCAAAGCACGACACCATTATCAAAGGCTGCTTTTGCCACTGTTCAGTCTCTTTGTGGGTATTAGTGAGACTTCTGAACCGTTAGTGTTGTATTTTACAAAAAACCAAGCAAACCCCCCAAAAACAGGCAGCCATTTTAGGACATGTGAAGATGATTTTAATTTCTTTCTTTGTGATCTAACAGTCATCCTGTATTGTCTTAATTAAAAAAATTGCCCTGGAGGATATTTCAATTTAGATTTACAAATTAGATATGGTATTTATCTAGATTTGTATAGGATCATGGTGTTCGTAAACTATAACCACATTTTACCAATTAAGACACACCTTATTTCACTTTGCACGTAAATAGAATATTCTGAGTTTGCTATCTGAGAAAATAAAAAGCATATCTCCATAAAGACCTCTTAAAACCAAGTGTCCTGTTAACTACAGAATGTAAACTGTACTAGCATAGGCAATGTATAAATGAGTTTCCAAAATTCCTTTAAGTTGAATTATGTGTTTCACAATTACAGAGTAGAATATTTTTCTTCCAAGATCATACAGGTGGAAAGCTGTGGAACATACTCTCAATAACTGTCGGTGGAATTGTTGCCATCTCTCTTGGACTTCTTACTTCTGTTTATGTTGCTACACTGCATGAAAATGACTTGTGGTTTTCCAATATTAAGGTAACAGTCACTTTCATAGTTTTATCTCTGCTTTCATAGAGCATTCATATGAGTGTTAGTAGAAATTTCATTTATTTATGTATTTGTCTTGTAACTAACTCAAAACCAAAATATTTCATTTTTTTAAAATTTAATTTTAAAAAAGCTGTGCTTCCCTTCCAACTACTCTGTAAGTACTTGATCATTTCTATAAACACCTTTCTTCAATTTTTCTCTTAAAAACATTGCTACACAGCTCCTGCCTGAATTGTAGCTATGGTTCTTCCAACCATTGATATTATCTACAAGAGAATTACAACAATCTACTGTATGTTGCTCTATAATCATCTTTCTTTTATCCAAAATCAAACAAAGAAACAGTTAAAAAACGATATGCAAAATCTTGGCACACAGTTCTTTAATTGTATTTCTACTGTGATATTGTAATACAGTTTAGGCACAGTCTCTTACTACTTAATTTTATGTAATGTTTTCCTAAATCTGCAAACATATTTCGGACATTCACCAGTGTAAACCCAACCATTCCCAAGATCCAGGACTGACTATTTTTTTCCTAAAATCATTGCATGGGAAAAAAATGCAGCTGTACACTTATCTAAATTTAACCAGAGAAAAGAAACAGGTGAGTCATTTTCCTTTTAGATGCCTAAAATTCACTCTGTTAGGTCTATGTATTACGTTATTCAAAGAGTACGTATATTTAATTGGAATACTTGCATGCAATATGTCTTTCCTGTACTATGCACTTTTTCTGTCCTGGAAACATTTAAATTTCCGTAATAAAAATAGTTGGCGCTTACTGAAACAATTGCTGTTGTATTATACATATAATACCATTTTGTATTTTCTTTGAATATATAGATAGATTGTCTATGCATTAAAGGTACGCCTTAGGTTTGCGTTTTCCTTCCAAAAGCAAGTATTGGTTAATTTCACAGGTATTGTATGTTTTGAAGCAGAAAGAGGCATGGACTTGTGGAAATGTACGAACCCAACAGACCATTTTTATTCTGTTGAACTGATACAGAGGGACACAAGGTTTGCTGAGAGAAGCAAGTCTGTAGTTGCAATTAGGTTGCCCCCCAATGGATAAAATGCTCATTTTATTTGATAATTAATGTGTTCATTTTAAGTATACTAGAACGCCATTAGATATCAAAACTGAAATAAAACCTATAGGTATTTTTCAGTCTGGAATCTGTTGCCTCTGTAGCTCTCATTTCATCATATGGAGTTGATATGATAACTAGTAACATTGGAACATGAGCAATTTTAGCCAATTTGATAGAAAGATTCTAAAAAACAGTAAGTTCATCTACCAGCAGGTTGAAGGAGAGAGAGATACAGATATTCTCTGATCTCACCTCCTATTTTTTTCAGTAAGATGTGAACTCCACCAGAGCATGCATGTGGCTACAGTGCTAATTTTCAGCTGATAACAGCATGAAAAGCTTTCTTGAGATTTCTCATATTATTGGAGATAAAATAACCAGTTGTAACACAGTTCAGACTTCACACTGACTCCTGCTAAGGACATCTTTCCAAATAGAAGGCTATAGCTCTAACTTGATTGATCAGACAAATGCAATTCATTTTGTAAACACATCCCAAGTGAGATTCAAAGGTACTTTTAAAGATTTGTTCTCAAATTATTCATTACAGCTTAGACCAAACAGGTACTATCCCCTGCAATTTATTTGCAAATACAAAGAAGGTTGGGAATGGGTCAAGTCTGATAAAATTTTTTTGCAAGTCTGATAAAATTTTTTGCAATTGTCTGCCAAGTCAAACTTGTTAATTCACTTTGATTAACACAAAGCTTTCCAAGGTTTTACCGTTAACTTAAATATATTGTAGGCTTGTTTTCTTGCCAGTATCCATGTCAGAGCATTTTGTGGCCATAAGAGGGAATAGCAAGATAAGAAATCTAAACTGTCTATTTTGATACACTTTCTCTTAACTAAGCGGAGAAAGAATACATGGATGAGAAAGTTTAAACACAATATTGTTTTATGAGTAGTATGGGAGGAGAAGACTACATATGAAGAGCCTGTGGAACTTCCTGTAAAATTGAGACAGGAAGGCTCATCGTAACATCTGTAAAACAGTACCTATACATCTCCGTGCCTATATGTATGAGTGGATATTGTAGTATCTGTAGATGTATCTACATGTTTTCTGGCATTTCTGAATTGGCTAATCTTAGAATTACAGCACATACTATATACTAATAAAACACAAGAATAAAATACACTATGGAACAATCTGAGATCCTCAAAAATTATATTGAAAATAAATGGAATATTTGCTTTTTTCTCTTAACATTTTGTAGTTTGGCCAAAGCATATATTTTTGCATATATATACAATTTTCTAAAAATTCTGAAAGAGTAAGTTTTCTATTACTGCATGCCTTGTTTAATGAAGCACAGATGTTATTTCGGTTTATTTTATTTGTATTAAACATTACATATAGAATAAATGGGCGCAATACTAATACACATCCATTCTTTCATTAACCCTCATGCCTATGAAACATAGTAGTGCATCACCACTGCTCTGAAACATAGAAAAGAAAATAAATTTTCTATCAGTTATATTTTCATACATTTTAAATTAGTAACTTCAGTCACTTTGAATTGGCTGTAAACAGTGCCAATTTGAGGATTTTATATTACTGAACTCTTGATACAAAAATTACATTAAAAACATGATCCTCCTGAACTTTATTCCTTTTCTAAGCTACAATTAGGCAAATTTTAAGAATTCATACACAAAAGGGTACATATAGCTGATAAATTAATATAGTGAGATGTAATGGGAGACTGGTTTTGTCAGTTTTTCTTTTACGTGAAGGTACTCGTCTCTTTGTACATCAGTAGGAGGTGGTCTGCAGTAGTTATCTGACACTTTTGCACTTAACTAGACAGTTTTTTACATATACCATTTAGATCCAAAAGGTGGAATTTTTATTCTGAAGACCCCATTGATATATGAATATTATGATTGTATAGTTACAAAATTGTGTAGTTTGCCAATTGTATTCAACCCTAAAAATGGAAAGTTCATTATGCAAAGTTATGATTCTTAACTTCTAAGTAATTGAAGTCACAATTTGTGTGTACACTTGTAGTGATTGCCTTTCTGTAATTTCAGTTGCAATTTATAGAAAGCCAGGTCAGTTTTAGGCGTCTTCCAGCAATGGTTCATCCAACTAGAAAAACTATTCTGTGGCTGTCATACTGGTTTGTTCTATTTGGAATATGGCTTTCAACAGTGCATTGATTTCAGCAGCTGCAGTTGCTAATAAATATGCCTGCTATTATAAATTTGCCATGGTCATTGGAGAAAGATATAAAATTGTTTCCTTATCAGAAAAAGTGAAAATGCAGATCTTGAAGAGTGGTTTATGCTATGAAAGAAGTACATGATTGGTATTATTTTTTTATGCCTAGACTTCCTGAAAGAACGACAAAAAAAAAATGCAGAATACTACGTCACATAATCAGAAGCAGTGATGTGTACACTTCCAGCAGGGATCACAGAATGTTACAATCACTTATCTTGACCAAATAATTTTGAAGAAAAAAGTTTGAATCTCTTCTCACATACATTAAAAAAACAAAGATTTCTGTTTATGATGGTGAAAGCCAAAACAGATTTCTTACCCAAAAATCCTTTCTCAGTTTTCTGAAAACTTTCTGGTGCGACACATAAAATGGCTAGTCTGTTTTCAGTGATTTTCAATAGCGGTTTAGTGACTGCTCCTCAAGTATAGTATCTTTTGAGAACAGGATCTACTATGAAAATAACAGAATGGGGGAGTGGGGGGAGAATTGCATCGCCTCTCCTGTCAGCTGTTGTGTTGCTTGCTCAAATGCAAACTCCGAAGAAACTTTGAACAGGCACGAGCCAAGGCCACATAGTGGATTAATACTGTAACACTTTAGAACTTTCATTTGTTCTTCATCCCTTCTGAGTAAGCATTTAGACTAATATTACTGAACTTTCCTGTAAGAAAATTGCTGCTCACAAGAAGTCAGGAATGAAAATACCAAATTTTAAATATTTCAGACATGCAGAATAGGAATCTTGGGATTCCTTCTCTGAAGGGCTTACATTTCACCTTTTTATATTTTGAATATAAAAGAAAGATGAAAAAAGTGGGGAAACAGTAGCCAGCTAATTAGAACTCTGCGAAGTGAATGCCTAAGCCATGAAGAGAGCGAGGGCAGTCCTGCACTTTGGTGATACTTTTCCAAAGAGCTAACTGTTGAGTTGTTACAGGTATTTCTACTCTGGATCAAAAGTCTGATCTGAGTAGCAACCATGCCATTCTGACAGATGGGCATGAGGTTAACCAGCCAGAGACCACGTACAAAGATGAAATACATTTCCTGAAGGCACGATTCTCAACCGGGAACACTGATAGCAGATGTCTGTATTGAGTTTACACTTGTATGGCTGAAAATTTTCAAATCTTTCTGATCTGAAATTGAACAACTAAAAATATTTTCAATTACGCAACTTGTGTTTTAGCTTTGTCAAAAAAGAAAAGTAATTGGAGCTTTGCTTATGCTCTTCATTTATAGAAGAACTCAACTCAGACTTTGACTCCTTGCTCGGTATTCTGAATGACTTAAGGAATTTGAGGAAACCTTAGCTCTAGAAATTTACATTGCCCTTGAGAGGAAGTCCTCCTCCATTTGTTTGGAATGCTCAATATTATAGGGATACAGTTGCATAAATTGAAATCATATGCTGCTCTATGTCTCTGGGAGGTTAGTGATCTTTTTTACCTTGGAACAGTGATAACTTCTTTGTTAGAGAGTCACAAATTGAATATACAGAAAGGGAAACGTGCTCTTACAATGCTTACCCATAAGTCTGTATGTTTTTATTGACATGGAATACTAGGAAAAGTATAAATTGCTGTAGAACTGGAAAAGTATTGTGAGTGAATAAAACAGATGTTATCTTAGCATGAAACAGATGTAAAACTCACTAGTGTTTGTCTCATAAAGTATAGCATTTGGTTGAATACAGCTGGTGCCAGGATTACAAATTAATCATGTTTGAATGCATTTTTGCTAATTAGATCCCCCTCTGTGACTACTCTCTCCCCCTCAATAAATTCCAAATGTTAACGTTTTTTCTTTTTTTCTTGTGTTTTGTTTTTTTTTTTTTCTTTTCTTTTATGAGCACAGTGAATCATCCACTTTTTGATATTGGAAAACTTTTCAGTAGTGATGAATTTGAAACTAGAGCTCATTCAAAATCCAGCATTCTCATTTTGCTAAGAGTGTGGCTTTTAGCATTTAGTGCCAATGTCAGTTTCTTCTGCTGGTACTACAGTGATTTGTATGTCATAGAGCAGCTGGAGACTTTAATTGTGAACTTACATTGAATCAGATGCAGTTTTATCTGTTGATTTTTTCTTAGACCAGAACTAATATTGGTTTAGTTTGTCAACAGTTGACTTCAATAAAACACATGTTTTGAGATAATATTCTATACTGGGCAGTAGAGGAGGGAAGAACATGATTTTTTATCTAGCTTTATGTTGGCTCTGAAATAGTATTGATTCTATTCCAGCAAAAGAGATGGGACTGTATAAGAAAGATGAAAGTCTTGGGATTCTATGCGAGGTTGCATTAGACAGAATGGCATTCATAAAAATCTCAGAAAACAGTAACGTTCTGTTATTTCAGTAATGTTCCTTTGTAAAGAGAACTGAAGTAATAAGATTATCTGCAGAAATCTCACTTAAATTTCTTGAAGACTTATTTACACCACATACAGGAATCTCATTGCATTTTCAAATCTGGATATAAACCTTTTCTAACGTACTGCTTATGAGAGAGATTTGCTGGGATGTTTTTATATAAGCCACTAAAAAGATCACTAATAATAAAACAATTTTGTATAAGATGCCTGTTACTTCTCTTCAGATTGGTTGTTCATGCAATCTTATTTTGTTAAATGTGGTTGCCTAAAGCTCTGAATTTGTTAAATTTCATTAGGTCTTCACAACTAATGAATTGACAAAAGGAGGTGAATTCCAAAGCAAAGATCCTGTACTGAGAGCAGTTTTCTCTAGGAGAGCTTTCATGTCTCGCCAGACTCCACATGCTGCAGTGTCAGCTAAGAAAGAAGCATAGTGTACCTACTTTAAATAATTTGAACATTTTTAAATTACAAATAATAACTTTACCTACACCTAAATACAAGTAAAGAATTGCTTTTCCTTTAACCTATAAGAAGTTAAGCATGAGAGCAATGAACAGCTGGCTTCCTGCAAGATGCAGCGTTTAACAACTAGGCAGCAGTATACCCTGCCAGCTGAAATCTCAGAGTGGCATTATGGTGCAGTCCCAAGTTTAGCACACTGAATTAATCGAGCCTTAAGGTGGCAAAGCCATGGAACACCATGGGATATCTACATCTGGAAGAAAAGGTTAAATACATGGAGCAAGCATGTGCAGTTTTAAAGTCCAGCTGTTGGCCACTGTACCTATCTAAACATTGACAGATAGTAAAAGATCCAAAATGTTTCCAAACAGCATATCAGAATCACAGAAGGCATATATATTTCCTCAGCTAACAGGTATTTCCCTCTCACCCTAATTTGCTATGTATTTTACCTTTATTTGAACTAAGTTGCATAGAATGCACGAACCCAGAGACTCAAGCCACTGTATAGGTCAATTTCCCTGTTGCAGCAAGAATTTGAGTTGAAGGCAGCTTCATATGATTGTGAAAAGCAAATGGAAAGTGGATTTACTATTGGACTTTCATTTGCAGGAAGTCGAAAGAGAAATTTCATTCAGAACAGAGTGTGGACTTTATTATTCCTACTACAAACAGATGATTCAGGCTGCTTCCATCCAGCAAGGTATTGTAAACTGTAAAGTAAGTTTTACTTTGTCTTGGCAGCTGACTATTTGTAATATTTTTTCAAATACAGTGGAGAACAAGGAATACCATAACTGTGAAAGATAGCGTAACAATTGTACTGGAGACAGATTTGTTCTGTTCGTACACCTAGGAGCCACTAAGTTATGAACATAATAAATTTCACAATTATGCATTGGTTTCTGTGCAACACCTTCACATTCTGATGAAGGCAATTACTTTGAGGGACAACTTTCATATCTGTTAAGGTTTCAGCCTTGCTGGTTAATTCAGTATATTAGTTTTGGTTTTATTTTTCTCTTGTTTATGTGAATTATGAGCTACTTGTGGGAAGGGGCAATTTTTTTGTTGTATGCCTGGGCAGTAAGTGACACAATGAGCAGCTTCCAAGGAAATCATATACGATGATGGGGTTATCTGTGACAGTCTCACGTTTTCTAGATACTTAACTGTTGCTCCCTAGCAATTTTGCTTATATGACACTTTTGTCAATATTAATATCACCTGTGTTCAAAGTAGTGACAAGAACGGTTCTCAAGATCCAGTATGTACCACAGATTCTATGCTAGGAATGTAAGTGTAGAAATAAATGTTTTATACAATACTAAATATATACTACTTGAATTAGCACTCTGAGTCACATTCGAAGCAGGGAAACTGAAGACCTCAGAAGGTCATGTTGATTCAGAGGTAATGTGAGCTGAATCCTTGACTCAAAGCGTGCAGGTTTTGATGAGAGATCCTAAAATACCTTTGAAAAAGTTATTCACTGTTCAAATGAAGATGGAGGGGAAAATGACAATCTCCTATTTCAATTTCTCTTTATCGTTAAGGTTTACATGGTTTAGTATATGACAATAAAACTGAATCTGTGAGGACAATTAACATACTTGAAAGAATGAATGTTTACCAGGAGGTGTTTCTCAGCATTCTGTATAGGATTCTTCCAATTCAGGTAGGCATTTATTTATGGCTTTAGATTGTAAGTGCATTATGAAGATTGCGCAGTGAATCATAGCTCCCTTTTTTTAGTTATTTTCTGATTAGAAATATTCCTGATACCTTTTTAATTTGTAAAAGCAAAACCTAATTCACATTAAGTATAGCCGCCCTCATGAGTATTTTATGTCAACATCAGTATTCTTGTGTTTTACAGCAATACCTAGAGCCCGTTTATTTTTATATCTACACTTTGTTTGGACTTCAGGCAGTTTATGTCATTGCTCTGTATGTAACAAGCTGGCTTCTTAGTGGAACGTGGCTTTCAGGGTTGTTGGCAGCTTGCTGGTATATTACAAACAGGTAAGTGATATTAAACATTCTATCTTTCTAAAATTGTACCTCATTTCAAAGGTAAGGCATTAAACCTGCAAATGCATGATTTATTGGACAAAAAATGAAACTAAGGCCTCTCTCCAGATTTGCCAGAAAATGGGAGAAAACCCCCACGTTTAAATAATACAAAATAGTTAGAAAATAATCAGAAATGAGCTGACATTGCAGACTAGGATTTTAAAGTTTCAAGAAGTTTGAGTAGAAAATTTTGGCTTAAATTGGTCTCTGGAAGTGGACTGCATCCTTCAGATGCATCTGAATTTCCAGATCGTGTACCCTGTCTTCTCCAGCCTAGGATCCCTTCAGTGCTAAAGACACCTGTATATATGCCCTTCAGGCCTATCCTCACTGCCCCACACCCAGGCTCCAGGGATTCCTTCAACAACCTAACATCGTCAGAACTTCAGCTTCTCTGTTCCCTTATTCCTGTAGACATCTCCTGCACTAAGACTCAGAGAAAAAAAAAAAAAAGATGGTAATAGACCTGTTTTAGTGCTTTATCACTTGAAGAATGCTCAATTTGGAGAGAAAAACTGAAGAACTGGCTTTATGCCAGTAAGCTACTGACATGAAGCTAAGACTGGTGACATAGGCTGTTATCCATAAGTTAATCAGGAAAATAAAAGTACAATGTCAGTTCTATCAAAACTGTTTGATATGTTCGTCACCAGCTGTAAAGAAGTTTATCTGAAAGCATGGCTATTACAGAATAATTATAGGTATATAGTGGTAAAATGTTTCTTTCTCCAAACATGAAAGTAATTTTAAAAAAAAAAATCACACAATGTGCAGTAGTTCACATGTTTGTTTCATGAGGCCATCTTTTCCATTTACAAAATATTTGGAGAAGATTTGTTTTGTCCATCTTTCTAATACTTCATGAACAAGGGATGCTTGTAATCCTTTATGCAAGTAGAATAAGTACATGGAATTGATCTGGATAAAGACTTTCTGTCCAGGTGAAGTACATCTGAGGCTACTGAGCAACTCCATTTTAGACATTTTTTTCATGCAGCTAAGCATGTCTCAGATGTGTTGCTTACTTTCCTTCTTAGCAAAGATTTTCTCTACACAAGAAAAAACGGAATTATTTTTTGTTTTTAATTCAGATTTTCTAAATTACTGCTCTTTGGGGAAGTTTTTCTAACTTCCATCACATACTTTTTATATTAGAACATTCAAAAAATGACCAGAAGTTCCTAACCAGTTCAGTGGTATTCAGATCCAATGCACTGGGATCACAGTGAAGAAATTGATGCCTATTTATTCTTATATGTGCTTTTTGCAAATCAAAAAAATGAAGTAAAATTACCTGTGACATGAAAACTCCACATGCTGGATTTTGGGAGCGGTTTTGTTTTGGGGTTTGTTTGTTCATTTTTAAATTACCCAAGCTGTGCTTCATAAGTAAGATTTAATCCATAGTATGAGCTTTTTAACGGTAAGTTAAGCTAAAGTAGAACATTTGAGGTACAGAAACAATGGGTGACTTGAACAACCTTCATAATGATGTTTTTTCAGAGCCAGGAATGTTGAATGAACTGGAGTGTAAAGCCTCCATTTTTATCAATAAGTAGTTAAAATACCACAAAGATGCCTGTCATTGCAACCTCTCTGTCCCCAAGTTGGTGTTCTATTTGTTTTAAATTTATGAAACTCTGTTTGTTTTGTGCAGAATAGATACTACAAGAGTAGAATTCACCATTCCTTTAAGAGAGAACTGGGCACTACCATTCTTTGCTGTTCAGATAGCAGCCATCACATACCTACTCAGAACTCATTTACAACCTGTTCAAGAAGTGAGTATTTCTAACAAGTATGACACAGTAAAATTAGTATCAGAAAACTGTCCAAAATTTAGGACAAAATACTTAATAAGCATTTATAGCAGTGGATAAACACACATACATCACTTTTAACATTGAAAATATTAATCAGAGCCTAATTTATACATAGTTGAAATACAAAGGAATACATATGCTCAGTGCTGAAAAAAAATAAAGGTAAGCTCTAAAGAGTACAAGACAACAGTACTGTGTATTTAAGAAAACAGAGTAACATGAAGTAGGCAGGAGAAAAGCTTGTAAAGCACAAGGATTAAAGATTTTCATTTGTTTTACAAATTTAAAAGGTTGCCCTGATCTGCAAGAACAAAAGCAAATTGATGATATATTTTATTTGACAAACAGTTCTTAAGTTATTACTCCTCAATTTGATCAAATAACTGCTATTTATAGCCTAATAAAACACGTATTGCATGTAAATCTGTGGGCTGAAACTATCTGAGATCTCACTGTTTTCTTGCAAGTGGTATTACAATGGTAAAATAGAGGCATAAATACAAGAACCTGCAACTCTAAAAAACGTTCAGTATCCTGCAAGCAGTTATTGCGGTTAGAAAACTCATATTAATGTTTTTAAAATGGATTTAAAATAAAACCAAATTAAGCTGGGTTTTGGTTGGGTTTGTTAGGTTTTTGTTTTGTTTTGGTTTGTTTGTTTTCTAATGAAGGAAATTGTAAAGTTAAATAAAACTTTGTTCCTTCCTTCCAGAGATTGACACTTATAGCTGTATTCATAGCAACGTTTCTCTTCAGCCTTACTTGGCAATTTAATCAGTTTATGATGCTGATACAAGCATTGGCATTATTCATACTGGACTGCTTTGACATGCTTCCCACAGCAAAGGTAAGATTATGTTTGGAAATAACCAGATTTTTTTCTTTCCTATCATAAAGCTAACCATTCTGGAAATATTTTACTAACCAGTGGCCCAGATGCCCAAAGTAATACAGATTATACGCTGTGCTGCTCTTGTGCTTTTAAGTAATCACAGTGTATATACTGCAAGTGTAAAAATGACTAACAGCACCGTTTCTGATTTTTTTCCAGCTGATTTTATTTCACTTTATGTGATTCACTTCTGTTTAATTTTTGTGTAGTTTTGTTTAGACTCAGCTGTGTTTTGACGCTATTAAGGAATTGCTTTTAAACACCATCATAACAGTTGATCTAATACCACAGCTTAAGCACATCCCCTGGAAGTGGCCAGGAAAAGAACATGTAGCACAAGAAATCTTTGCCTAAGATGAAGTCATAATGATGTATGACTTTTGCCTCAAGTATTGTGCATCCTGGTTTGAAAGTTAGGTGTAGGCACTGTACCACAAAGAGAAGGAAGAAGATAGACCAGATTGCTCAAGCGAAGCAGCAGTTGCCTTTCATGCATTGAAATTCACCACAAAATAACATTGTCGCTGTATGTTGCTGAACTGAATGAGCCAAAAAGTAAACCAAGTGTTAACTAAAAATAAGGGACCATTGACAGTCAATCTGAGGAAATAGAAATATAATACAGAAGATGAAAACATTGTCTTTGAATGTAATGTCACTGTGAAATTCTACTGAGGTGATTTTAGTCCTTGTAAAAGCTTACACTAGTTGCAAAAGGTTCTACCTTTAAGGGAGGTTGCAGTAGGAAGAAGAGTATTCATGTTAATTTCATTTTAAATTTGAAGCAGATTTGAATATTAGTGACTGTATATAATTTAACTGAAAGTTAGTATGGTGGCTACATATCAAAAAAAGTGGTTTATTTAACAGTTTCTAAACTCTTCATTATATCTGCAAATGTAAGCTGAAGTTAGCCATTAATGTGACTAATCAGCTACCGTAAAAGTTGGCAAATTACCAACTTCATCCTGAATTATACTGAAGTGGACTTACTGCACCACTCTTACTCCATATTAATTTTCCCAAAAGCGCTACTTAAAACTGTTGAAATCTGTTGGGCCATTTGATTCTGACTTACAGCACTCCTGTAATACAAGACTGAACTCAGGATCTTTGTGTCAGGTGAAATTTATGTGTCAATACCACTGTATCAGAAAATCAGCTGGTTTTTAGTGTTTGCATTCAGTTTAACATTTGTAATAGTTTAGCTCAAAAAGGACTGTACTAAACTATTATTAAAAAGTTAGAGAAATCAGCTGGTATTTGATTGCTGAACTGCACTGAGCCATAACTCTTTAGTCACAAGGACATTAGAGAGGCTACAGAAACACCTCTTTGACTAAAGAAAGTACAAAACAACTTTCAAATATTAAGTAATTAATATTTTCCTCACTCTGAAGTTGTTTAACTTATCTGCTGTGTTATAGCACGAGGCTTTCCTGGGCATAAAATAGGTATAAAATATTAACCCAACTAGTTCAGGACATAAATAAAGAAAGGGCATAGTAATGGCTGTAAGTGTAGTGATTTAATGCAAGATGGTACATTTTTTGTAAAAATAATTGATGTTGAAATAAATTACAAAACATACTCAAAGAAAAGCAGCTATGACTGAAGTTTTGTAGGCATAAAAATCTCATTATTGTTACAGGTCATGTGGCTGTATATCATTCAGATTTCTGGATTACTGCTAGTCTGTGTCCTACAGTTCTTTAATTCTATGATTCTTGGATCATTACTTATAAGTTTTAACACTTCTGTCTTGATAGCAAGAACAATCCAGGTAGGTACTGAATACTGAAGTACTAAATAGTGTTATATAGATAGATAAATGAGTAATTTATATGCATTATAATCTTAAAATGCTAATAATAATTAGAGGAATTACTATAGTGTAAAGCAACAAAAACATTGCATGATCAAATAATGAATTCAGTTATACTAACTACAGCATAACCAAGCACATCAGACACCATAATTCTGTGATTGCTATTAACATTTATGATTGTGCAAGCTGCAGTTTTGGATCCTGCAAAAAAATTGCATAAACGGACTTTACACCTGTTTC